CATGGATATAAAGTCATCAGGTAGATTTCAATGGTAATGTTTTTCACATTGTCTAATTATTAAGGAGCAAATTTTTATGCTTTAAAGAATTTTTTTCTTTTTCATTTATTTATACACCACTTCCCAGGCAGCACCCTCCCATAGCCTCCCTCCCCCCACTAGAGCCTTTATGCTCTGATATCCCTGCTACTCTCTACTGTGTTGTCGGCACCCCAGCCATTCCCCACTACTTGCCCTTCTGGTGAATCTAGTCAGCCTATCTAGAGGTCCTTGTTTTAGGAGGGTCAGCTGTTCTTCATCTAGTGGTAATCAGTTGTCTATATTCCTTTGGATAAGATTGGGGTCTGCTGTTCAATTTCCCAGTTCTATGCTCGGCTACTATCTGGGAATCCCTTTGGCCACCCTGGCCATCAACTCAAAAGAAGGTATCGCTTGTCTGGCATTGTTGCTTGTTATGTAGCCTTTAGCTATACATACGGACTCTTATGAAATTATGTTGGTCCATTTAATCTTTGGTTATACTTTCCTTTTGTGTGTTTAAGGCCATACAATTGGTCCAGATAAAACCAATTTAGTTTTACTCTTAAGGTCGTTTGGGGATCTGTTCCTCAGGGGTCACATGGGCTTGGGAGGAGCCCCTGGCTCCTTTCTTTTACCAGTTCCACTGATGTGAAGATAAGTCAAAGGTACTGCTCGACCATGGTTGGCTTCGCTTGGAAGCATGGAGGAAATGATTCCTCTGTGTTGACCCTCCTCTTTATAGACTGGACACTGGTTCAAGTCCATTTGGTGGAGTCTCCTCGGCCTCCTTGATCAAGAGGACAGGTGACCCACCACCATTATAGGACATTTTGAGAAATGGTCATAGTTCCCTGGAACTAGTCGACCTAGGAGGGCAAGGAGCCAAAAGTGTCCTTTATGTCCCTCTGACCACATAATTATAGACCTCAAAGTATGTCTGTTAAACACCCAAGAAGAAGGTTAGTTCCATCAGTCTGGTATTTTTAATTACTGTGTGTCATGTAGATAAATCTTGGGCAAAGATCAGACTGGCTAAGATCAAGAAAACAAATGATACCAAATGTTGGAGAGGATGTGGGGAAAGGGGACCACTCATCCACTGCTGGTGGG